TCGCGAAGAGGGAACCTTAGCCCGGCTGTGGTCTGGTCAAGGAAAAAGGTGTAGTAGCCAAAGGGTGGATTGTCATAGGTACTTCCGGCTCGGGGGACTTTGAGATCCTAACCTCGGGGAAGCTCGATCTCTTCAAAAATTTTGGTTGTCCGATTGGTTGAGTAGGAAGTAAGGGGATTGGGATGTGCCGAGCTAACGACGGGCATAACCCCTTTGGCTTTATCAGCCGCCCCGGCAGAGGTCGGAGTGGCTGCACGTACCAAAGCTGGCAAGGGACGCAATGCTAAGGCCACCAATGTTTCACCTAGGGGTTCTGAGTTCGAGGAGGAGTAGGTGTTTGAGTTAGTTGAAGGAGAAGTAAGTTTTTCATTACTTTACTTATTAGAATTTTCTAGGGTAAAGGTAAGAGCTTTCATGAGTAAATGCTTTCAACCTTGTATGCTTGGGATTAGATGATTTTGTTGTTGATTGCGTGCACGAGAATTCATTCAGAGCTAGGTTAGTTGATTCACGAGTGACTTGTTGTTGATTGCATGAGCGAGAATTGATTCAGAGCTCGATTGGTTGATTCGCAAGTGATAGCTTGATTACATATTCTCGAACCTATTAGTGTCTTCTTTCCATATCGGGTCTTAGGATACCTTGTTCTTTTTCTATTTTTTTTTTCTTGCAATTTGAGGTCTTGCTTGCATTAAAGTTTGAATCTTGCTTTCGTCTTAGCTTAAAGTTGCGTTCTTTATCTTAATCCAACCCAAAATTGCAAGTAGAGTGTTTAGGACTTTATTATTATTTTTTTTTTTGTGTGTGTGAGTCACTTGTTGCTTGAATTTGTGTCCGAACAACTTTCCTCGAGAGACACGACCCGAGGTCAGGATTTATTTCATACTCGGCTAAAAGCTATAAAACACCCAACAAAAAATGGAGCCGAAATGCAGGAACAACCAAAGAGCCAAAAGGAGGTAAAAAAATAAGGCCCAAAATAAAGAAAATTCGAATTCACTCGTAGATCGAGTCATCCTGACTCGACCAGAGTTGGGAGACCGAGACCAGATGATATAGGATAAGCATACCAGCCTGGTCTACTTGACTGGAGAGGTAACTGAATCAAACCAGACTGGTCGAAGGACCTCTAAGTTGAAGGACCCACAAGTCGAAGAAGATACCGACGATGTAGAGACCACTAGCAGGTTGAACAGGGGCCCTCGGAGGGCCTAGTGAAAGCTCATCTCAAAAGAATATCTGGTCGAAGATCGACCAGATAAACAGGACAATAGGGCTCACTATTGGTGGCACTCCACCTCGAGGCTGTGGAGGCCAAATGCATGGTTAGACCATCTAATGAAAGAGACTAAGAGAATATTCACGATAACTAATGCAGCACATGGGCCAAGGCATGTGGTATCATCTAACTGGTCTACAGTTTGTAACTGTCTCTAACACAGTGGGTAGTGCAGGTTGTACTATAAGACAGCTTGGGCAACCTGCTCACCAGATCCGAGCAGCCTTCTAGAGACAAGTACCTCACCCCTATAAATTGGAATGAGACATGTGCTTTCAGCTATTAAATTCTGTTGTAGGGAAGCGTACGAGTGGGAAGGATAAAACGAGATCTCAATCCTAAAACAAGATAAACTCAATCAATGTCTTATTTCATATTCAACCACCGAACACAAAAGAAGACGAGTCCTTTAAATAAATCTCATAAGTCCTACTCTTAACTTGTTCAACAAGACTATATCATTTACTACTAAATATTCTAATAACAACAATAAGATTAATAATTATTCTCTTACCAGTTAAAATACTAAAAATAAAAGGAATAATAATAAAAAGACCCATAATAAAATGAAATAAATATATATCATAAATTAATGATGCTAGACGATATCTCATCTACACCATTCTCTCCCTGTTGGAGAGGATTCGCCCTCAAAATCCGCACCTCGCGGCGTTATCCGTTGTCCCACACACAAACGTCAATCTCAAATGGAACCGACCTCCGCTCATCGACAACATTTGTCCACAAGACACGTGGGAACATATCTGAGTCCCACTGAAGCTTTTTGACAGGGGACCCCACTACTCCCAAATCTCAATTTCCTCCCAGAGAATGTGTCAAATACAATATATCTTGAACAAACGAACGAAGATTTCTGTTAGGATGAGGATCACTTTCGCCAAAGCTTTGGAGATAATATGTGACACCAAAAAATTCAAACTGTTATTTTGACACCTAGAACATTATGAAATCCCTCCGGCACCAGAGGCTCCTCATCGAAAATTGGTGTATCGTCGTACAATAGCCCTTCAACTTGCTCTCCGTCGAATTCGGGGATGTCAACACGAAACGGGCCGCCCCATCGACCATATTCACGATCAAATTCCCTATGAAGATTCATCTACATATCTTCAACCATGTTGTTCATTGTAAGACGCACTTCTTCGATCAGCATCGAAAGATCCTCAAACCGACAATCCAATTGATTGACCAGGTAGTCGAAGCCCGTGGCTTATCGACCTCGATGCTCAATGGTGGCGTCACACCCGTCAATGCCGTCTATTCAAGGTGTCATCTTGAATCGTGCTGACTTCTGTTACCAACTGATGTAGGGAAGCATACGAGTGGAAAGGATAAATCAAGATCTCAATCTCAAAACATGATAAACTCAATCAATTTATTATTTCATATTCAACTGTCGAACACAAAAGAAGAGTAGTCTTTTAAATAAGGATCTTAAATCCTACTATTAACTTGTCCGACAAGACAAAATCTCTTCTTAAATATTCTAATACAAATAATAAGACTAATAATTATTATCTTACCAATTAAATACTACACATAGGAATAATAAAAAGACCAATAAAGAAAATAAATATTTATAATAAATTAGTGATGCTAGACGATATCTCTTTTTCATAACATTCTCTATTATACATATTGTACAGAGATCTCTCTATGTACTTCATCTTCTACACTTATTCATTTAAGCATTGAAGGCTCTTGACTGGATACCCCCTCAGACGGGAGAGTTCTGCAGGTTCAAGGATATTCAACCGATGGCTAGCTCAAGATTCAGACGTTTCTAACTTGTACAAGCCGGTTGGCGGTCGTTTGATACGAGATAAAGTAGTTATATGAGCTATAGCATACAATAAACTTATGCTTTTAACTCAACAATAAAAAAATTTATAAGAAAACTCTATTTTTCTATATGCAATTTTTGTTTCTCGTAAACCGACCACATAGCGTGATTTTCTACAACATGTGTTCAAAAAGCGACTATTTAATAGGTTTTGTTTGTAGGAAATATTATTTAAATATACATGATAAAATTACAAATATTATAACAAAATAAAATTTGAGAATCAATTTTGTCGAACTAGCATGCAAATTATTATTTATGAAAGAAAAATATAAATATTTATAATATATATTGTTACAAATTATGATGAATAATCAACGGATCATCCGTCAATTATCAATATAAATTATTAATTTATATTTTCTTGATGTACATTGTTATAAATTATAATGATAAACCAACAAGTTAACTATCGAAACGATGTAAATTGTAAGATGAGAAAAAATAATAAATATTTATAGTGTCTATATTGATAAACCGTGGGCGTCGAACTGTCATATATATTAATAGATTAAAAATAAATTTGAAATATTTATGATATACATCATAATAATAAAATAATATTGATGTAACTAAAAAATATTAATTTTTTCAACTTTAAAATAATATATATTACAGCTTTTTCAATTAATTGTTGCCTATAATACTTGTCAAAAATTTGAATTTTAGCATAACATATTTAGAAATTTAAATATTGTAATAACATTCGAGTAAGAGAAGGTAAAAAGATAAGTGTCCTGTGAGTATTAGTTATTTATAATAGTTGAATTTGTTAAAATTTTTTGGAGTTTTCTCAATACAAGCTTTGAAAGATAGGTAAACTATAAATTCGGGGCCTGAAAGATTTTTTTTCTCAATTTGGGACCTAAATGTTACAAAACTATCAAATTAAGTCCTACAATTAACAAAACTCATAAAATACTATTAAATTAAGAGTTAATTTGAAGTTTTAAACCACAAATATGTTACAAAGAAAAAAAAAAGAGAAAAAAAGAAAAAAAAATAAGAAAAAAAACGAGATTATTGGAGAAAATTAAGGAAAATATGAAGCTCTTGCTCGATTTTTCTTTTTTGCTTTCGTCTATTTCGTTTTTTTTTTTGAAATATTATACAAATGTTTACTTATTATTTTTTGTGAGTAAGCATCAATTTTTATTTTTTAACAATCAATTTAATGATGTTATGAGTTTTGTTAATTCTAAAACCTAATTTGATAGTTTTATAACATTTAGGTCCCGAATTGAGAAAAAAATCTTTCAGGCCCCGAATTGATAGTTTACCCATCTTTCGGATCTTATATTGAAAAAACTCTTTTTTTTTTTTATTATCACTAATTCTAAACAAGAACTCTGAAATGATAGCTATTTTATAACAT